CCCCCCACCCCCATACAAAAAGACATTATTTCTATAGGAAATAGTTTGCAGTTAAACAAGAAAGGTTTCCAGTGAAAAAAGATGTCTCAAATAAAAATATAGAGAAGTTTTTAATGAAATATAGAGGTGTGAGGTTTTCTGATTAAAAAGATAGGATTCCACTTAATAATAAAGATTTCCTAAAATAAATGTTTTCGATGAAAAAAGGAGAGGTTTCTGATAAAAAAGAGAGGTTTCTGATGAAAAGGAGAAGTTTTCAATAAAAAGAGAGGTTTCTGATGAAAAGGAGAAGTTTTCAATAAAAAGAGAGGTTTCTGATGAAAAGGAGAAGTTTTCAATATAAAGAAAAGTTTTCGATGAAAAGGGAAAAGTTTCCGATACAAAGAGAGGTTTCCTACAAAGAAGGGAGGTTTCCGAGAAAAAAAGAGAGATTTCCGAGGAAACGAAGAGGTTCCCTCTTAGGAAAGAGAGGTTTGTAATGGAAAAAAAGGAAAGTTTCCGATAGAAAAAGAAAGGGTTCTGATAAAAGAGAGGGTTCCAATAAAAAGGGATAAAAAGAGACGTTTCCGATGGAAAAAAAGATGGGTTTCCGATAAGTAGATAAGTGAAGAGGTTCCAATGGAAAAAAGAGAGGTTTCTGGTAATGACAAAAAGTTAATTTATGATACAAACCACACGACCAAAGGAATTGAGTATTTGCTACAAACTCAGTTTTCTATCCCTATACCTGTGCAGTGTGCAACCGTTTCAGACTTGACAATTCATAGATTGAAACGTCGAAGGTCTACAAAATTGGGCTGCACAGATTTAAGGATTAAAAAATTTGAGTTTGTGGCAAAAAATCATTTGCTTTACTGTAAAATACGATCCCCTTTTCTTATGAAACCGCAAACCTTTCTTCTCGTATTGAAATCATATAAACCTTTCTTCTCGTATTGAAATTATAAAAACCTTTCTTCTCGTATTGAAATTATAAAAACCTTTCTTCTCGTATTGAAATTATAAAAACCTTTACCCTAAGTGCTCCCTTTTCAGAATATAGAGTAATCACAATCTCTGTGCCCCAAGCGTATACCCCCCTTTCTAAAATCTTATTTGTTTCTTCTCAATTCCCTCAGACCTGATCAATTATGCTAAATATACAATCTTAGGAATACAAAATCAGTTCTACAATATACTCCATCTTTACAGCATTTTGTCCAAATATATCAAAAACAATTTTAGACTTTTAGACTTTCCGACTTTTAATATTTTAATACATTTATAGGCTTTTACGCAACTACAACTGCATCAGTTAGGGATACTAATTAGGAATAATTCTTCTTAATGAAAGTAACTCTTTAATTAAAAAGTGGTATATTTAATTCAAACCATTTAGATCTTTGTTAAATTAACAATGAGGTTGATATCGTGAAATATCTTCCCCTGTATATTACGGGTATAGCTCAGTATAACAGAATATAAAACGATTTTCCATATATCACAATAATTTTATTGTATCGAATACTTTAGTTGCGGAACTGTGAATTTCTGTGACAATGACGTAAATTTTCGGGATAAAACAATTTTTACGCCAGAACACTAGAATTAATGATCAAATAAAGGCTGGGAATCAGGCCATCTTTACATGATCAATTTGTTGCTTCTAGATGACTAGACTAGAGATGACTAGATCTAATTAATTGTGTGAATAAAGTTGAATAAAACCATTGATCTATAATAATATATCTAATCATAAACCTTTCAACAGACACGTGATCTAATATGATTAATTGATCAATGAATAAATAGATAAATGGATGAAAGCCAAGGGGAATCTGAAGTTGAAATTGTTAAAAATACATTTTTAATATTATACATAGGGTTTCCACGAGATGGCTAAATCTTTTGCGCAAAATTTGCGCTATTTTCGCGCGAATTTTTTTTTTGCGAACTTTTGCGCTATTTTTGCGCAATGAGTTTTGCGCGGTTTTGCGCTATTTTTTGTGCAATTTGCGCAAAACCGGAAATATTTTTTTGCGAAAGTTGTGCATGAAACGAAATTTTAGTTTTGTGTAAGTTTCAAACACGTTTTT